CGATAAGAACCACCGGAAACCCTAGTTACGGTTCCGCGAAAAAAGTTACTGTTCGGTGAAAAAAGTTACTACGTATTTTTGCGGCCTGATAAGACACACCCTTAGGTTTTTGAACGCTGAGGTGACATCAGCCTTTGCCGTGAGTATTCTCTTGTCTGGCCATCTTACGCGTAGTCTGGTGCGGGTAATGCTTCACCGCACAGGCAACTTGGGACTCCAGACATGACCGTATCTTTATTGAGTCCACCCTTCGACCCCTTGCTTGTGTTTGGATGGAATGAGAAATCGTTTTTTATGATTCTCACTTTCTTCCCTGGAACTGCTCCCGACATCGCGACTCTAACCCCGCGGACGTCTGCTGCGTTCGCTTTTCTCAGCACGATACACCAGTTACTTACGTTGACGTCATCGCACAGTTTTTTCCACACTCGTGTTTCATGGGCGTCTACACTACGGTGGTTACCGTATGCCAGTGCTTTCTTGAGGTTTTGCTGCGAGTTTAGAGTGGGGGCAGGGGCTCCCTCCCCGACTATCTCTACGAGGTCATCGATACCCGGGATATCCTTCTCGTCTCCGAAATACTGCTTGACGTCGCTCACGTCCAACGGCGGTGACACCAAAGTGCCGCCGATTCCCCTCGCGACGTCTCCCAGCCTACCATCGTGGAGTTGTACCAAGTCACTACCAATGTCCGCCATCTTTTTTTATGATGCGTTATTCCTCGGCTAGTGTGTGTGTGCTCGACGCAAGCTTGCTTCTCTGTGCCTCAAGGCTATCGGTCAATGTTATTGTTTTTTCTAATATGGTTGTCTTTTTAGGACTCTCTAGGACCGAGCGTGGTGTTCTCAGCTCAATGCGAGAAGTCTCCGACTTCGACCCGCTACCTTGTCGCACTACGCTTTTTATGTTAACGGCCTAGCAGTGTCCGCCGCTAGTGCCCTACGTGTTAACCGTGCTCCCTCCGAGGTGTCCGCCCCGGGGGAGCTTGTCGCCACGGTCTTGGTGTCCGCCAATTCCGTGTCGAGAAACGTGTAGTCTATTTACCACGAAAGGTGTCCGCTGATCGGGTCGATGTGTCTGAAAAATTCTTACACCGGGTGTCCTCCCTGTGTATTTCCTTATGCACACTGCTGGTGTCCGCCAGCATTGTTTGTTTACCTGCCACGCTCACGGCGTCCACCGCTTGCGTGCCGCAAGGCCAGCTATGTTCACCTGGGGTGTACTCCCCCGAGTTAATACCACGAAAGGTGTCCGCCGATCGGATCTGTGTGTCTGAAAAATTCTTACACCAGGTGTCCTCCCTGTGTATGTCCTTATGCCTACTGCTGTTGTCCGCCAGCATTATTTGTTTACCGGCCACACTCACGGCGTCCACCGCTTGCATGCCGCGAGGCCAATTATGTTCACCCGGGGTGTCCTCCCCCGAGGTGACTGCGTGCCGTTGTTCAGCACGTGTGGTGTCCGCCACAGTTTTCGTGCTGTACAAGTCAAGGCAGCAATTGGTTCCGCTATTGGTGTCCGCCACTAGGTTTTTAGTGATTGTTTTTGCCACGTGACCGGCGTCCACCGTTCGTGGGTGTGTGAGGAGAGATTTTTCACGTCGGGTGTCCTCCCCGCGTGTGTCAAACAACTCAAAATCGATGTCCGCCAATTGCGGTTTCTCTTCTGTCACCCGCTGTGTATTACATGACCCATACTTAGCGCTGGGGGTGTCCGCCCCCGTCGTGTCTGTTTGTGATTTTTTAACGTGAGTGGTGTCCGCCACTATGCATGCAGAAAACGAATCAGACCATTGAACAGCATGGGATATTTCGGGATCGCAACTCTTGCTCTCACCGTAAAACACAGCGGCATCTCGTGTTATGCTGCTCCTCAGAGCTGCTATCTCTGCCAGTCCTCTTCTCTCAAGTTCGCGCTAGCTTGTCTCTCGCCCACAGCGAGAGTACAAAAACTTTCTGACACCCGTGCAGCGTCTTTTTCTTTCTCATTCGAGCCCCGTTCTCCCGAATTCCAACACGACTAAAATGTTTCCTTTACGCGGGGTACGTTTCCTTAAACTTCAGGGGATCAGAACGAACCATCCCCGGGGTCAATGGTGGCGGTACATACGTCAAAAGGTGTGCCCTGGGCAGGGCATTGTTGGAATAAAAAAAGAGGCTGGGAGTCGGCGAGAAAATAATTGTTTATTGCTGAACACCACCATACAGCACGGAAAATACATGATGGACACTTCATATTCACCTGGTGACTCTTGTTTACCCCTGGGGGAGCGCACGCAGAAATTCTCCTGCGTTACTCTCTACTGGAGCGCCATTCAGACACAAGCACACAATATGGCGTATGGCCGACAAACCGCAAACACTTAACGCTACGACTTCCTCCACATATCGCGTAGAGTTACCTGCAGCTCCCCCCCTCCTTGGACCTGCGCTTGACTTGTGTTTCATGCGTGAACGAATGTACCGTTTTCGAAAGGAGGTGCTGGGTTTCGCGGTATTCGCTATCCTTTCCATTGGCGTACAAGTTGGAGCTAACACTCGCTAAGCTAGGGCGGACCTGAGCCTCTGTCATTGAAGATGCAATACACGAGGCTGGCCTATCCCCGCCATCTTCGTCGCCAGAAGAGGCATGAACCTCCAAGTTTGCCATGTTCTGCTCCACAATCTCCAGTTCCAGAGCTACCTCGTCTTCCAACACGCTGGGGTCATCCTCTACGGAAAGCCACGTCTTCATTGCCTTTCGCACTTCTACATCAGTGAGGCCCGAGTTCTTCTCGACAAACAATTTGTCCGTCAACACCCCTGGAATTTTTCTGGCGTCGGTGACGTCGACGCTGTCTGGCATCGACAGCTTCGCGACAAAGTCGCAAGGCCGTCGATGAGTCCCCTTTCGCCCGTGTCCCCCCCCGTGTCCCCCACCTCCCCCCCCTTCCCGTTGTCCTTTCCAGCGAGCCACGTGTCCTTCCTCTTGAGGACGTTCTCGTGCTCCTCGGGAAGGATGATGGCCTTGAGCCAGCACCTGACAACAGTCTGGTCCGAGAAACTTTCCCACTTCTGGGTAAGGATCTCAGCAACGTCCAGCATTGTTGCCTGGCCTGCATCGCTCGGCCCGACATCCCCTGAAAAAGGAGAAGAGGGCAGGGCCGCCGGGGTACAAGTAGGGAAGGAGGGAGCATGTTGTTTTTTTCATGCATGGATGACCGGTGACGGCAGGTTATTCTATTTTGAATGGGAGCCATCGACAAACAAACGTGTCCACCACCACGATTCTCTCACGAAAATCAGTATCAATGCGTAAACTAACGTCAGGCTAGCTCATCTTCCTACCTGGGGATGTTGCGCGCACGAACGGTGTCCCAGTCCTTGATGACGTCCGACAGCCTCACCACCATCTCGGTCTTATACTGGCACTTGAGGGTGAAGAGGGCCCCCATGTCCATCGGCTGAAAAACGGACGTGACGAGGGGCGGCAAGAAGACTATGACGATCTGCGGGTCGTTGTTGATGATCTTGTGGCCGGGGCAGTTGTCCCAGATGAGGGCCACCTTCCTCGCGGTTTTGCTTTTGACGAACGGGACGAAAACCTCGTCGAACCACCTCTGGCAGAGGGATGCATCGAGCCAGGCGCTGGCCTGGGCGTAGTAGGAGCAAGGTGGCTCGCGAATCTTGCGGAAACCATCGGATTTGCCGCCGTGCCGATGACGGCCAGCGGCACCATCAGCGAGCCGGTTGTATTGCAGCAGGCCACCACGGTGCACCGGTCCTTGGCCTTCATGGTCTTCGAGCCCCGCGCGGTTTTTTGTTGACGCCAGCAGCGTCCTCCTGCCTCGTGACGTACGTGCCTCTCGGGAAACAGCGGTAGAAAAGCCCCGTCTCGTCCATGTTGAAGATGAACTCGACGTCAAACTCCTTCAGCTGCTCCCGAATCTGCGCAATCTTCTCCTGCACCTTCTCCTGGTCCACGTCGCCAGCTTCCCCGTGCAGGTTGATGTGCTTCAACTGGTAGCGTTTGAGGAAGCGGTGAAGCCAACCGTTGCTCGCAGCGAACTTGATGCCCATCTCGGACGCGAACTTCACGGCCCGATGTTGGATCATTGTGCCGCTCAGCCCGATCTTTGTTGTCTGCAAAATTGTAGAGAGGGAAGAGCAACGGCAACAGCAGTAAGAAACGGACGTCAGCGGCTGCAGTTGTAGTGCATAGGATTTTGAAGGCAGGTCGGTACCATGATGTTTGGGGACATGAAAGGACTGACGCGATCGAGAATCACACCCAACAAACGCAAACCGAAATTCTCAAACGAGGGACGTACAACTGATCTGCCCACCATATCAACACACAATTTATCCGACCCGGCGTCCAACGTTAGCCCTCACCATGAATCGCTCTCGCACAATCTTGATCCACTTGAGAACACGCTGTTCCAACTCCGCGTCCACCGGTTCCGGGACGCGGCGGGCCTCCGGGTTGAGCTCCATCTGGACCGCCTTGTTGAGCTTAGCGATGTTGTCAGGCATCATCAGCTTTGTGACATACCCCTTGCTGACGCCGTACTTTACCGCGACCTTAGCCCTGACACCACCATCTTGGACCTCTTTGACGAGCTCGTGCCGCTGCCGTAAGTTGAGCTTGGTTTTGCCAGTGTCCGGCCCGGGGGTTGACGCCTTGCGCTTCTTAGTGGCGGCCGCGGCGGCATTGTCGCCGCCGCCGCCACTCGCCCCACCGCCTCCGCCCGCACCTGCATCGCCTTCGCGCTTCTTGCTCCTTGCCGGCCGCTGTGCCGTGCTGCGGTACGTAGTGGAAACGAAGAGAGACAATAATCAGACTCCATGAGGTGGTCACGAATGTAGTTTTGATTGCAGATGTTAGTAGAACACATGTGTTTTGCTGTGGCAGCACAGTCCACTATTGCGCAGCAGCGGCACACACGAGTGCACCGGTACATACGAGCGTCTTGTCGTATACATACACAAGGTAATCTCGTGTTTGCTCGACAAATTTCTATTTTCTTTGCGCACACACCATCTAACGCAAGAATTTTCGACAATAAAAAAGAGGAAATGGTGTCATGTTTCGTCATGCCCACAGCACCAACAACAAAGAACCTCCTGTGATGTGCAAAAAGTATTCCGCGGAGCAGCACGTGCACGCAAGATCACAGCAGCACAGACATGTAGTCTACGCGCCAGAGATAATTGCTGGGAAGGAACAAGTACGATTCCATCCCAGCACGGGCGCCGTCTCCCTGTTTCGCCTTCGATTTTCGTGTGTGCTTTTATTATTAGCATCGACCGCGCTAACCGGCTGACCAATCAAAAGACGTCAGTCTTTGTGTGTCGTCACAAATATGTTCGTGTGTCTGGATACGAGCATGGTAGATCTGCTAGCAGCACGGGGGGTACGTAGACAGGAGCATGCGTACGCCTGAAAAAGGCTACTATGTGTGGGCCCCCCTTCCCCGAATTCGGGAGGGCCACTTCTTCCCTACCTTTCCTCGCTCCCGCGGGTGCCTAATCAGAGAGAGTTAAAGCGTCTCTTCTCCTCCCAAGTACGGACATACCAACACACTAGTGTTTATTCCCTCGAGGGAGTCCATTAGGGATGGCGGGCCGCAGAACCGGAGGGACCACTCCGGACGGCTCGCAGGCAGGAGACACAAATAGCAGCGAGCAGATCGACAGCATGCGGTCTGAGATCAGTTCGCTGACACAGCAAATGGGCCAGCTGGTGCAGCTGGTCGGAGGACTTGCTGCACGTATAGAGGAGAAGTCCGGCGGTGCCACGGAGGGCGCCGCTGAAAGCGGCGGCGCCGTGGAGAGCGTCGCCACAAGCACGGCAGGTCATTTTGGGACCGTGCAGTACGACGGGAGCGCGCAGGCAGCGGACCTGCGAAGAGAGTCTGGTCCTTCGGGACGACGCAGCGGCGAAGTTGGGGGTTCAGATCCCCAAGTGGTGAGAGTAGCCGCTGGTCACAATCAAGCTTGTTTCAGCAGCGCCATGGGAAGTGG